CTGAAAAGTGAAAAAACCTTTCAAAACCTTTGGAAATTAGAAAGATACAATGAGTGTGCTGGAATGCTATGAGTCACAATTAGAAGTAAAATTGACAGTAGAAGGGATTAAAATATGATGATAGCTTTAAAAAGATCACATTCGAACATCATGTTTATACAAGTCTCCAATACAATACCACAATTAGCTTGATACTACCAGAACTATTACCTTATATTTTTTTACTGATCATAAATGGTTTCACTTTAAAATGAAAATAAAACAATAGGAGTATTCACACAGAAAGGCGAACACTGCCAACTGAAATGAATGGCACTTGGATGCAAACTATCTGTCCATTCCAAGTAGCGTGCTAGTTACACTGAATAGGACTGCTATTTTAAACTCACATAACATTAAGTAAGACTAGGTGGCTTAGTGGGTACCTCTGGAGTCTCACATCACCACTTCTGGCTCTGCGTAGACTGTTTCCATGTGCTTTGCATTCTCTGCTTTCTCCTGCAGTCCTAGTGACTCCATCACATACTCTGTAGCCTTCAGCAAACACACAGTACCTTCTAAATATAAACCTGTAGCATGTGTTATTTAAAATTTATAATATGGGTATACAGAAATCTACACTATTTAGTTTAAGAAGCACAGTGAGCTGGCATGTAGCGGTAGTGTGTCCTTCCATTCGGCCTCCGATAGGCCGCAAACACTAAAACCCAGGGCAGCGTTGCGAGTACATGGTCGTCAGGTTACTGCTTCCGCCACCCCTGCCTCTGTGCCCCCTCTTCCCTTATGCCCACCTCCCTGCCAGGGAGGGCTTCCTGGAAATTGGATTTAATGCTCCAGTTCCGCACAGAGAGACCGCTTTCATTCCCTGGGCTGTGTGGTAAAAATGAAAGGATTTCATGCCTCGCAGAAAACATGGGATTACAGAAAGCTCACTCCGCTGCTTTTTCTTTAAGAAGAAAAAAATCTCAATGGCCTTCGGAATGAGAGAAACACGCAGCACAGAATGACTCAGTCCTGCAAAAAGTTTCAAAATTTCACTCTGCAGCGACCAAAAACAAATCACTACTTTCACAGAATGCACTGAACAAAATCTGAACTCCAGCAATGAAAAAATATCGGAATAAAATTACATACCCGGCTTCTTTCCACAGTGAACATCACCTGCCATACAACTACAATGCATCTTACCTGGAGACACTTTTAACTGTCAGTCAGATTGGTTTGGGTAAGTTTTGGTAAATGTTTTTCTTTCAGTTAACAGGTTGATCATTGATTTAAAAATGAATGTTTCCGATTGATTAGGTTACTTTCGGCTTTGAGGTATAGTTAGTTTCTTAAACTTAAACACACTACAGAATGTAATGTGTGCATTAATCGCACATGCTGAGTTGCTCTCGCATCTCTCTCCTTTAAATGGATCCTGACAATGAGAATTTTCTGTCACTAAAAGTACAAAGGGACTCAGAACTGAAGTAGGCACCCACTTTGCTAAAGAAATGGGACATTCTGGAACTAAATATCAGCTTTTGATTTCTTCACTCAACTGTCCGATCAAGAAGATAATACTTAAAAGAGGCAACATTTCTGTGAAATAATTCCATACAGATACCTCTCAAAAATAACCTAAAGTGTAAGTATTACATAATCATTGAATTTATAAAAAAAAATAGATAATCCTGAAGTTGAACAGAAAAAAGCAGATAACTTTATATTCACAACAATTAACCAAATGAGATCAGTAAGTAATCACACAAATAAAAATACAATAGCTTTTCTATTGCTACAGAAGAAAGCACAAGTCATTCACGTTGTTTGTGATATAGATAGGCAAGTATACTCTTTACAAGCAGTGTGCATAACATGCTATACTTACAACTGCTGATATTTAGTTTCCTCTCAGATGTGCAATTGTCTCTGCAAGGATCTTTATTTAAAACTGGATCAAAATTAAAATCAAAGAGATGAAAGATGCTCAAGGGCAAATTTGCCCTTATGGCTAAGGCATTGTAATTATTGCTAAGACCTCTTTAGCGTTGCAGTCTGAATGATCAGTGAAACAGGATCCAGTGCACAAGATACCAGTGGCAGGCCCACCTCCAGATGGTTCTAATCTGTAATCACCCAAGTCTGCATTCAATCTATCAGTCTGTTTAGGATCACTCTGGTCAGAGCTTCTTTGTCTTGGGTTTGTACATTTGTGCTCAGTCATGCCAGTTTGCTAGTCACTGTGGGTTTTTAACTTTATGCCTCAGTGATCTGGACTGGGTCTGTCAGTTCTGCTCTGACCCCTGGATCGTCCCCCTTTTGGCTGTCTAGCTTAGCGCACCGAATTCTGTTTGCCGCCTGTCCTACGCTGCTTTGATCTACGATCTCTTCCCGGCTACTGCCGTGCCACCCAGCACGTCCCACACAGCCACCTCATTTGTGTATGCCGCAGTCAGCAGCCACAGGGCTGTCAGCACTGAGTACTCAGAAAGCAGCCTGTCAGCACCGAGTACT